GGCGGGGGGCGGGGCATCGGAACTGTGGGGCGGATAGGAGTTAACAGGCAAGGACCGTGATCAGAGGATTGTTTTTAATTTGGGCAACTTTACAACCAGATAAATCTCATTAGATTCTGAGCCCCATCCCGACCTGTCAACACCCACTCTTACAGCACTGGCTCCTGCCTGACTCTGAGCTGACCGCTCTTTCCCAGTCTCAACTCTCCAGATGTGTCCCTTTGCAGCTCGCCCCATTCCCGTCAGCTTAGCCATTTCCTGGAGACTTCATGTGCACAGGGACAGAGCTATTTCTTCAGAGAAGCCCTTTAATGCAACCAAATGACTGGGCATGGTGTTGCATGTCTTCAATTGCAACACTCCGGGAGGCTGAGGCAGGAGGATGGCAAGGTTAAGCCCAGCCTGGGCAACTTAGTGAAACCCTGTCTCTTAAAAATTAAAACAGGGCTGGGGTTCAATCCCCAGTATTGCAATTAATCAGTCAATAAATATAATTCAGCCAAATGAACCTGGCCTGGGGTCTCTGGAGCATGTGACTCGGCCCAGGAATGCCCAGAGCAAGTCAGAAAACCTGCCCTTTGATGCACCCCATGTGTACACCCGCACCTGCCCCCCATCCCTCTCTGGGGCGCTGCTAAAGGTATGTTCAGAATACAGCACTGGAGAGGCCAAGGCTACAATGCTACCTGGTCCCAGGCCGGCTGTACGGCGTGAGGTGTAGCACGCCAGCTCTCTGGGGGTGGGAAGGGGAGCCCTGCGTGGTAGCACTGGCCAGCTTCCCACAGCAGCAAGTTTCACGCTACTGATGTGGCACCACTGAACGTGCACATAAACAGCACCGGGACAGTCAGCTTCCAAGAGCCGCTGTCAGCTGTCCCGGCCACCACTGGCCATACCAACTCCACTGCCGCCTGGGCGGCAGCAGCTCACAACGGGAGCACTCTACAGGCTGGGTCTAGGTCCCAGTTCTGCCATGTACCAGCTGAGCGTCTTGGCTAAGTCGCTTCCTCTCTTGGAGAGTCGGTTTCCTCATCTACAAAGGGGAAGGGAAAAGCCTGCCTGCGAGGCTAGGTGTCTGGCCTCAGCCATGTGCCCCTTGAGAAGCACCCTTGGCTTGGGGGGCACTCAGTGAGTTCAGCCCTGTCATCTGTGCCCCCGGCCCAGTCTCAGGCTTCTGAAGAGAGTGGAAACATGGAATTTCCGGAATTATCACTGTGTGCAAATTAGCCCCTGTTCTTCCAGAACACTGTACTGGCCCAATCAAACGCAAATGCAGGGTGTTCTCAGCCTAGCCCACCGACGGCCCCTTCTCCCCTGCTATGCCCTCAAAGTGGGATGTGGGGGCAGCGGGGACACTCACAGCTGATTAAACATGCGTTTCATCTCATCTGTGATGTTCATGGAGCCGACCTCGTCATCCGAGAACCGATTCGCCTCTCCATCCTGCTCCGAGATGTCATCGTCTGAAGCCACTTTCCGCTCTTTCTTTTTGGGGACCACCTGGACCAGAAAGGAAGAGATGGAGGTAACTAACTATGGGGCTCGGGTAGAATGGAGGGTAGGGGCGCGCAGGAAGGGAACTGGCATCTCAAGGGGTGGATGGAACGTGGCTGGACCGGCCACTGTGGGAAAGATGCATGGGTCTTCTAGGAAGCAGGCGGCATTAGCAAGAAGCGTGAAGCGGGAGGCATGCGGGGTGGAGAACACCGGATGCTGGACCCCATCCTGCCCTGGGAGCCACCTTTTTCCCTTCGCCAGAAAAGCAGCCCCATGATTAGGGCAGAGGTGGGCCAGCCCAGGGCACAGAGTCACGGGGGTGTCTCAGAGCCAGCCACAGAGACGCCGTACCCCCGATAACGACCAGCACAGCTCCCAGGGCCTTCCTTTCCCATGCAAAGGCACACACGGGTGGCCCGAGGCCCAAGCAGACAAGACATGAGCGGATGAAGGTGGCGTGGGTCCCCTGCTTTCCAGCAGAGGGGCAGCGAGAAGGCATGGAGGGAGAAAGGGCCCTCAAGAGGCCCAGACCCTGCCAGCCACGTCCAGTCTTACACACAAAGCGACAACACACCATACTGCCTGGGCTCCAGCAAAAGCCACACCATGACCCCAAACTCAGGAAGCAGCCTTCAGAGGATGACATGTGCCCTCAGTCACCCCCAAGCCCTCTCCCGGGACCCCACCAGTGACTATTCTCTCTCTCAGGAGCACCCCCACTGCACGTCAGGTCTGGGGGGTCGAGACTCTTCCAGAATGAAATACAGTCAAAGGCCGACAGCTCCTCTGTGATTCTGGGGCCCCTCTGCCAAGGTTCAAGTTAGTTCCCCAGATGCCCACATAGCCTGGCAGTGCCCAGTCCGGGTGGCCAGAGGGACAGGCAAAAAGCAACGCAGTGGACACAGCATGGCCAAAGGACATGTCCTAGGGGGCCAGGACCCTGAGTCCTAGCCCAGCTCTGCCCTCTTCTGCGCCTGGACACAACATCACACAACCCCTGAGCCGGGGTGTCCTCAGCCATGGATGAAGCAGTCAGATTCAACAGTGGAGTCTGCAGGGCCTGCAAGTCCATGGGTCCCTGAGTGCGTTTCTCTAGGAGGCAGAAGGTCTGCTCAGTGCTACCTCTCAGGAAGGGGGCGAGCGGACTTCGGGAAAGAGGGGCTGGCTGGGCAGCGGTGGAGGCTGGGGTGGCTCTGGGGTGGGGGGAGTGTGGCTGCTGGGGAGGGGGGTGGCCCTAGTCACCTGGAAGATCTTGGACACGTCTTCCGAGTTCCGCTGCTGTGCAACATCGCACAGCTTGGCCGTGATATCGATTCGGCGGCAGATGTCCATGTCCACCTTCATGGCCTTTTCTTGGATCTTTGTGTCCAGGTCTGTCATGGGCTGCAGGGAGGACAGCAGGCAGGGGTTACGTGAGCAAGGGACGGAGCAAGCGGGAGGGGCCTGGCAGAGGTGGGGAGGTCCCTGGAGTCCAAGGGAGACTTGGGCCTTTCCTGGAGTGCATGGTTGGGTCAGGGCTACTCGGGGCGGGGAAGGTTGCTGGGGGCCTCTGGAGGGATGATGTGAGACCGTGTGTGCTGGTCTCCCTGCAGGCTGCAAGGCTGTGTCTCAGCAGGAAACAGAGTCAGTGTTGTTTTGTTAGAGGAAAGAAAAATAAAAGACAACTTCTACTTTTAGGTAGAGTCCCTCTTTCCCCATCCGGCTGTCCCACATGTCCCCACACAGTGTGCCTGGCACAGCGCCTCCGTCCTGGATTCCTCCCCCAGCTGGCAGCAGAGGGTCATCTAGGATGAGGGGAGGTCTCCCGGCCTCACGCCGCTGAGCACCAGGAGCCAGGCCAGACTGAGTCACCGCACCTAGGCTCCTTCTCCCCCACCTCGCGGTCTCTCCCTACACACTGCCCGTGCGTGGCTCAAAGGCGTCAAGAAACCCAGGTCCCAGCAGCAAGGAGGCCTTTGTGGCCCACAGCAACCCCAACCTACGGTTACTGACACACACTGGCCTTTCCTGCCTTGCATGGCAGCCTGCTGGAGGCCGCCGGCCCGGGGAGCCTCAGGCTGGCACAGCCCCAGCCCACGCTGTCACCCCCGTGCCAGCCACCGAGGCCCACGGCACAGTGAGTCGGGAAGGAGTCGAGCAACACACACAGGCCATCGGAGGAGCCCGGGAGGGCGATGGGTTAAGCGGCGGATTAATGCATCTCTACTCAGACGGAGGGAAGCGGCGTGGGGAGGGCGGGGAGGGCGCCTGGCCTCTATGCATCCATCCGTCATCCTCAGGACAAACGCAGCCAGCCAGGACTCTAACTAGAAGCCGAGCTCGGAGCCTCGGAGTGAATAAAGCGTTCTGCATGATGGGTGTGGGGGGAGGTCATGACGCCAGGGGGTGGCGGCCGGTGGCACTTACGTCACTCATGAGCCCCTTGAACACCACGAGCTCAGCCTTGAGCCGCTCTATCTTCTCGTTCATCTCCTCCTGGATGGCCTCGGCTTCCTGCGCTGCCTGCAGGTGGACATGGGCAGGCTTTAGAGTGGCTGACGCCCTGAGGGGGATTGAGGAACTGGACACCTGGGTCCCTCGGAGCCTGGGCACTCAATGTCCCTCCAGGCTGGGCGCCTAACATGTCAGGGAAAGGTGCCAAGGACCTCATCTTCCCTGCCTGCTTCCCGCTGTGCCCTGCTGACTGCTCCAAACACCTTCCAGAGGATCGCTGATGGCACGGAAAAATCCGTGGGAGATAGCAAGAGAGAAAGAGCAGGTTAAGGTAATGAGGAGCTCCAGCCCACCAAGCTTTGAGGCTGATTCACATGAAAGTGCCGATATTTGGCCACCTGTCATCTAGAAAAGAGCAACGTGGCCACGTCACCCGAACGTGTGCACCCAGATGCACGGTGGGGGAGCCCCGGCCTAGAAGAGACTGGAAGGCCGCACACCAGCTGATCATCTGTGGAGAGGCAGGGCTGGAGGCAGTTTTGATTCTGTTCCATATACTTTTCTGAATTTCCCAAATTAATAAAAAAAAAAACTACTTTGCTATAAAAGAAAGTCATTCTTTTCCTTCTACATATTGGTAATTATTTCAGTCTGTCTCTTTCTTAGGTCATAGATGCTTTAAATATCACAAATGAATTATTATTATTATTATTATTATCATTATAGTTTTGGTTCTCACATAGGCTAGGCAAGGGCTCCACCACTGAGCTATAGCGGCCCGCCTAATCCTTAAAATTTTTTGAAAGAACTTCTCGTTCCCTCTCACAGAATCACTACTCTTGTTCCCATTTCACTGAGAGGAAAACAGAGGCCGAGAGGTGAAGTTGGCTGCTCAGAGTCTCCATGGCGGGTGAGCAGCAGACCCCAGAATGCAGGCCACTACGGGAGCAGCAAGGGCAGTATGTCCACCGTGAAGCCCGTCCAAGTGGGAGGGCCTCCTGGGGACAAGCCTGCCAGCTCTCTCCGAGGCATCTGTGCAAACTTTAGGGACCTGCAAACTGAGGGGCAGGGGCACTTGGGACAACCTCATACAGCCTCTGTGCGGGGGACAGGCTGAAGAGGGAGCCGCTGGCCCCAACAAGACCCAGGCTCCCCAACTCCTGTGGCCAAGCTCTATGGCCAGCCAACTGTGCCAGGCCACTCCTACTCCTTCACTACAGGAGGTAGAAGAGACCTCTTAGTTTCCCAGAGGAGCGGCTGGGGCAATAGAAGACACACTTTGCCCCGAGAGCACCATGGCCACAAGGCTCTCCCAATCCTCTCCAGGCCAGGACCCCAAGGACTCTTACCTCCTGCAGCGTGTCCACCATGGTCTGGAGGTCCATGCGCTTGGCGAGCTCCTCCTCCCATCTGCAAAAGCCAAGAAATACAGTGGTCAGAGGGTGACCTCTGCAAGCCAGTCCAGCCCTCTGTACCCACCCTACCCCTGTCCCTAGGCTGGGCGGGGAGGGTACGTAGGCAAATCCATCCCTGCATCCACCCAGCTGATGGGTGGTGGGGAAAAAAAAATAGATGGCTGGGTTGCTGCTGACCATAATTCCAAGCAGTGACAAGTGCCACTTCCAAGGCCTGAGCAAGACGTCATGGGGAGATAAGCAGGAGGGACCACTATCCCTTTCACACAAATTGTAAAGTGGGGCGCAGACACTGCTGCTCTGGCTGTTGCTGCAAGATCAGTAAAAAGCTGGGCCTTAGAAGGCAGCCTGCAGCTGGCTCACGCTTGGGCTCTCCTTTGCAGGCGCAAGAAACAAACTCATTGTGTTAAGGGTTGCAGTCTTGGAGCCCCTGGGTCCTGCAGCCCATTTTAACCGGTACAGAAATCTACATAGGTGTTGAAACTGAGCTCAGAGAAGCTAAAGGTCTTGCCCAAAGACACAGCTATTCAATGGGTGAGGCCAGAATTCACATCCAGTTCTGTTTAATTACATTAAAACAAAATCAACAAATACAGCTCTTGCTTCTTTAGCATGTATCAAACGCCAGGCCCTATTCCAAGGGCGTTCTGAATAGCATTTCATTCACGCATGCGCTGATTGAAGCTGAGCAGGAAAGGATGAAGGGGTGCAGACAAGCACAATTTACAGTGTACCCCAAGTATTAACTGCAGGGTGGGAGAAGCGGTTCCAATACCCACTCCCCTCTGACCCTTCCTTTGTCACGGGTATCCTTCTACATGCTTCATGCTCAGTTCTCCAGCAGCCCCAGGGCCTAGATACTGTCACCATCCCCATGTATGGGTGAAGAGATCCAGGCTCAGAGTCACAGGCCCAAGGCAGGGGTAGGGCAGGGGGAGCAGGGACCCAGGCCCAGGGGAGGCTGCAGAATGACTGCTCAGCACCCTCAGAGCCTACTTTCCCACCCTTAGGCTCCCTCCCCGGAGGAGCTGGGGCAGCTTCCTTCCCTTCTGCTGTCCTGGGACAGACAGCCGAGCTTCTATCTTTCCTCACCCCAGCCCGCCTTCCCCACATGGCCGAAAAGCAAGGAGGTCTGGAAGCCTTTTAGGATGCTGTCAGGCCAGCTAAAAATAGGCCAGAGGGGAGGGATGGATGAAGAGTGGGTTACGTCACCAGCTTTTGGAAACAAGAGAAAACGGATACTGTTTGCACACACAGGAAAATTCCTCCTCTCTCCCACACCAGACAGCCTCGCTGGGCTCCCAGAGGACGCGTGCCCTCCCTATTCACTTCAGTCTTTGCCGGACCCTCGTTAGCCCACATCAGCTGCCCAGTCTGCCCCCACCCGGGTCCAGGGTCCAGGGTCCAGCCCCGGAGGCCAGAGAGACTGGGGCTCCTGCTAGCACTGGAGGATGCAGAGGTGCAGGGTGGGTCATCTCCTGCTTGCTCTCTTGTTGTGCAGAGGGGAACTGGACTCAGAGTATACAAGTATACATGTCAGGAGCGAGGCAGAATCCGCCCCAGGCCACCTCTGAATGAGAAGGACAGGCCCAATGGGGGGGAGCAGAGATGCCAAGCGGGGAGGCGTTCCCAGGCCCGTTCTCACCCCAGCCCAGCAGCACAGGGCATCTGGGGTTCCCTGGGGGAGGTGCAGGCCAGCAGGTCCCCAGCTGAATCATCTCTCCTGGCCATGCTGCTCCGCGGGGAGGAGGGAGACTGAGCTGCTGAGTCTGAGTGTAGCATGGCAGACACGGCAGTCTGGCTTCTGGGGAAAGTCTCGCAGCTGTGTACCACAGGGGCAGCAAGGGGTGAGGAATGACACACACTCCCTTCCCCAGAGGGCCCTCGGGCTGTGGCAGCGCACAACCTCACCTCTGGGCAGAGGGCAGCAGACCCATTGCACAGCTGGAGAAAATGAGGCCAAGAGAGTGAAAACCACTTGTCCAGATCAACACAAGGTGAAGTGAGCCTACGTCTTTAGACCTCCAGACAGTTAAAAGCAAACATCAGTTAGCCAACATGATCCATGGTACAGGTATATGAACACATCACCTGCTTTCACATGAATTATTAACACTCTTGGATGAAAGATTTTTAGCCAAACTCATTTTGCAGAGGAGTGACCCGGAATCGGAGAGGTAAAGCCACTTGTCTAAGGCCACAAGCACACAGGGAGCTGGAATTAACACCTAGCCCTGCTGTAAAGCAGCGTGTGGGAGACTTGGATATCATCAGCAATCGAGTCCCCTGCAGACCCTGATTCAGCAGGTCTGGGTGGGGCAGCGGGCTCCCCGGCGGTGCTGGTCTGCACAGCCAGGTTTGTGGGCAGCACACAATCCCGTGCCTCCACCTCCCCCTACTCCTTGCACCCTGAGTTCTGCACCCAACCCCTCCAGCATGCTTCCGGAGAGGCACCTCAGGATGAGCTTGAGGGAGTGATTTCGCAAGCCTTTTATTCCCAAAGCAGGCTCACCTGACCCCAGGGAATGGAAGACAGAACCCCACATATGGAAGGCATCTGGCTATGCAGACGGAGCCCACTGCCCTGAAGACGTCCCTCCCTGCAGTGGTAGCAGCAAAAGCCTGGCTCAGCGGGTATCAGTGTTGACAGTGCTGACTGTCCTTCAGCTGCTGGGGGTTGTGGGGGGTGAAAGGCCAGACACCCAACATCTGCTACAATTCAGCTCAGTGCAAGGGAGCATTCAGCTTCACCAAAAACTGGTCAACTAAGTCGCTAGCGCTTAAGCTTCAACATCCACTTCCCCAGCCCCATCCCTTCCTGCCTGGCCCCGCCCACCCAGCTAAGTTTTAGGCGGAAGGGTGTCCTGGGCAGAGGAAGCAGCAACGCCTTCACAGCAGGAAGGCAAGGCCAGCCTCCCACCGAGAGGGGGCGCACCTGCCAGGGGAAACTTTGGCCTCCCTGCTCTTAGCCCCAAGCTACACCAATGCGCAAAAGTCAGCACGGCTAAAAGATGGTAGAGCTTGGAATCAAACTCAGATCTGGCTGATTCCGATTCCCGGGCCCTCTAAGGCCCAAAGGACCCCAGAGGACATCTGAGATGTGAGCTGGGGAGGAAGGGCTGGGGTTGCCCTAAAGAGACCACCTTTAGGTCATGAGGTGAACCCCCACCACCGCCACCACCTTGACCCACCCGCTCAGTCCTTCCAACTTCTCCCTTCAAGTGCTGGATAAGGAAAGGGAGAGGAGGGATATTCACTCTCTGTTACCTCTGGGGGTGTTTGCATCTGTCCACACATACATAAACTATCACTTACATTTACACATATATAAAAAATCCACCAAGAGTTAAAATGGATTGAAATATCCGTTTTGCAGATGAGGAAACGGATTCAGTTAGGTAAGTTAGGTAAGTTTTCCCTTCTCCCTCCCTCCTCTGCCTGCTGAAATCCTATCCCTTCTCCTAGGCTTGTCTCAAATGTCATCTCCTCCCCAAGCCTCAGCGTCCCCTTCAACTGTTTTCCTGCCTGGGACTCTAGGGGTTTGAGGTGCCCGTCCTGGGGGCCCCCGCCCCATCTTTCCAGGCAGCCTGGCCACGGTGTCCCAGCCCTGTGATACCAGACCACACAGGGGGGCCACCGCAGCAGGGTCTGCTGGAACCCATCTCAGGACGTCTCAGGCATCATGGGCCCTGGCTGAATGGGGCAAAGAGGAAACAAGCGGTGAGACCCCTGGTCTTGCTGGGAAAGGAGGCACGGGAGGAGCAGGGTCCCACGCTGAGGTCTCCCCACCAGGCCTTGATCAGCGGTTACAGTTCCCACTTCTCGATCACTGCCATATTCCCTGCTCCTAAAACCTGCCAGGCACTTGGTCAGAGTGAGGTATTGACGGAACGGTTTGGTTGAATGGAAGATGGATGGATGGACAGACGGACGGATGCAAGCAGCACTCATTCCTGGGTCACCCATCCCCCTCTGCCCAGCCAGAGCCCCTTTCCCCAGAGCACCCATATCTATGCTTCCCAGGCCGGGGGCTCCCAGGAGCCAAGTTCCCAGCACAGCCCAGGCTGCCTTAGTCCGCTCAGCTCCAGAGCCTCTCCCTGGAGACAGGCTGGGGAGGGACAGCCAGGGAAGGAAGCAGACAGGGAGAAGGAGCAGCCCTCCCTCTCCCCCTGCCCAAGGCTCCAGAGCCAGGGAGGGGAGGTAGGGATATCAGGACAATGCACCCTGGGACAGGAAATGACTCCACAGAACGACACATGGCTAAGACGTCCTCCGCCACCATCTTAACAAATCAGGCACATGTGGGAGGCTGGTGGCCGGGAAGGGGAGGCAGCAGCACCGACCCCGGCCAGATGTGGTCTCCCCGCATTCCTGAGGAGCCACCACTGGGACCATGTGATTAACAAGAAATCTTAGCTGGCCAGTGGGGGAGGGGCCCCCACCCTCACCCCGCCCCTCCCAGCATCGGGGCCAGCGGCTCCCTCCCCCATCAGCTCAAAATGACTTACAGCCAGACCCAGGAAAAGAGCTACAAAGGCTGGCCTAAGAGGGGCGGAAACACAAGCTGAAGCCCACATGGGGCTGACTCAGAGGGTTTTCACTTCCTGTGCCGTCAAAGGAGACTCCGGCTTGGGAGGAAAGTGAGCGCAGACCCGGTAAATAATTAAGGTTTCTGGGACAGCCACAGACACTTCAACCCTTCTCCCACTACTTCCAGCTGTGTGTGACCTTGGACAAGTCAACTGCCCTCCCTGGGCCTCAGCTTCCCCACCAGTGAAGTGAGGTGGGGAGCACCCGACTCCTGCTGAGAGGTGGCAGAGTCCGTGAGGAAGCAGAGGGTGTAAACACCCAATCCCACCCTGGCAGAGTACGGGGCTGAGACTGCTCCGCAGCAGCAAGGTGCAGACGGCACCTCGGGCGGGCGGGAGCCCCGGGACGTCCCCACCTTGCAGGGCGGGGAGCAGCGGCACGCCCAGGCCGACTCACTCAGGTGAT